CGCCGGCAGCTCGTCCGCGCTGAGCCCCAGGTCCCGCGCCAGCGGCCCCACGAGCGAGCCTCTGCCCAGCTCCTCGGCGATGGCGTAGCGGACCCGCTCGGCCGCCGCCCGCCACCACACGCACAGCAGCAGCGCGCCCAGCAGCGCTCGCCCGCCGCCCGGCCCGAGCCTCTGCCGCCGCCTCACCGCCATTCTCTGCCGCCCTCAAGGGTATTCTGCGGACGGTTTAAAATTAGGCTTTCCGAGTAGCTGAGCCAGTATTCGAGAGAAATAAATATATGAAATCCCTGTTGCCGGTCGGAGGACCAGCTGAGTCGAGCGATTCCTGTTTTTCTCTCTGCTCTGAGCACTGCGGAGCCGGTCTACGCGGGCGCCGGGGAGGAGCTGACGGCTGAGCAGCTTCTCCGCCTTGGCCGACAGTGACACCCTGAGTCCGTGCCTGAGAACCGCAGCGTCCAAGAAAAAGAACAACCCGAAGGTCCTGCTCTGTACTCCCTTGAATCGGGAAGGATTGGAAAATACAGATGTTGTCGAGAGTGAGAAACAGAAAATCTCTATCAGTACTGAAACTGCGCATCTAGCAATTCCTGTTGTCTTGCAAGGCTTCTGTCGGACCGATCCTCTCCCGTCTCTTGAGGGATGTGGGGGTACGACTTTGGTCTCTGCCCAGTTCTCAGCTCGTGTTGTCAGATCTCTCGGTGACCCCGCTGCCATCGTGTCGCCTCCGTGAGGGAAAAGGCAAGGCAGATCGAACGCTGAACCACTGCTCGTGGGTAGTGCGTTTATTTATGATAGTTGAGACATCCCCAGCTAACACTGAGCTTTCCAGCTTTTCCAGCTGTCCTGGATGGACAAGCGAAGCCGGGAATCCCAGGCGTTGAGAACACCACAGCAGTCACATCAGACCTGATCCCATCTCTTACGACATTCAAAGCTCAGTATCATCTTATGAGTACCCATAGAACCCAACCTCGAATTACTCTTGTATATGTATCGCACAAGCCACTCCCTGATATCTTAATCAGGCCGATACTGTAGCTGGTCTCAGGAGTTAAAGAACATTTCCTGGGAAATGTCGGCGGCAGTTATGGTTGTTTGAACAACCAAGAGTAAACAGGCCGATTCCTCGCGAAAAGCCGTTTTATTTAACTGTAAATTAGAACCTCGTCTCTCTTACGCTGAGGAAAAAAACCGCCAAAGCCACAAACAGAAAAATAACAACAGAAAGTCCTGAAGGAAGTCTGTGTATCATCACAGCCCCTTATGAAGGAAACAAGGAGCACTTAGACAACTCTCCACACTATCTACTCGATAGAGTCGCTCTGGCACATTCTCCAGGCCTGGGTCTCTGAGATGCCAATGTCAAGATACTCTCCCCGGACCAGTAATGTCTCGTTAGAAAAAATGTTTTCATACTAACTGCGGTAGTTCATCTAGTGAAGGATAATTCCTTTCCCTCCAGCTGCACCTATACACAACCTACGGTAATAAATTAACGTTCTGTCAGAACAAGACATGGATTTGAATTTGTAATGTTTCAGCAAGGCTGTGAGCATCTCCACAAGATGTCGAGAGATGAGTATGGTTGTTTACATGGGGACGGGGGAATTCTGCTGAAATATGTCTCGGTCAATTCACTGCCTCCTATGTGGTGAGAATCGCCTGTAACAACACAGACACATTTTCATGCATCACACACCGAAAAACTGTCCAGATCTGTGTTTTCAAGGTTAACTCGGGTTCCAAAATTAGCTTTAGTAGAAATAGATAGTGATGAATCGTACTTTGCATTTAAGTATTTTGCATCTATATTCTAGCACATACACTTCATTTCGATGACTATGCCTGCACAGTAATCGACAACTACATTTGTACCGAATCCAAAGGTTAAGCCACGAAATCTAGCAGTGGGAAAAAAATTCGATCAGAGGAATTCTTCACCATTTAATATGAATCTCTTCAAATGCCCTTAAGAGGGATGGGATAATTCGTTTATTGAAGGCGGATATGGAAGAAATCTAGGACTTCAATGTGTCGGCTTTCAAGCTACAAGATCCCCGGATTCAACCGGAATTTGAGAGCTGATACAGGGGATTACAATGAAAAGTTGGGAATCGGGTATTAGCAAGCACTGAAACAATTTCTAAGAGCGGACAGTAGAAGACAAGGAGAATGAGATTTCCTTGTGAAGCTGCACATGCAACACAACTTTCCAGCCTTGGGGAAAGCTAGAAAAGAGCTCAGGCAAGCAGCAGAGAACACGGCACGTAAAATACACAAGGCAGACTTTGCACGCATTAAGGAGATATCATTCATGAGTGAGTGACTACCTAAAAACCTGGATTCCGAGTGTGTGACGCATCTGTTGCTACCCCAAGAATCCTAAACAACGCGTCCAATAAATAAAGTATAAAAACTAACGTACCTGAAAGGCAACTTGCCCACGGATTTCGGCAGCTTGATCTCCTGAGGGGACACGATCACCCGAACCCTCATCTGGTGGCCGGGCCGGGAGGGTGTCGCAGCAGCTGCCGCTGGCCGAGAAGCGCAGGTGGCTCTTGCGCGAGTCGGCCGTGAGCGACACGTCGTGCGAGTAGGACTGCAGGAAGGCGCGCACGCCGTCGATGCCCACGAAGTGCGAGACGGGCACGCCGCGCAAGGCGCCGCTGGCGGGCG